TTTGAAAAGAAATTTTAAAGCTGAACATCTCAGTTTTTCAATTACCAGAAAAAGCAAAGAAAAAGGAATTAAGTCAACAGAAATGCTATTAAAAATTACTGTATTATAATGAAAACGTCTAAAAAAAGTTTTTTTTTATTAAAAGGTAGAAAAAACGTTCTTAATTTTTTAAATGAAAATCTTATGCCGAAAATCTCAATTTAAAATTTTCAAATTGCCATAATTTTAGAAGAAAAAAAATTGCTATAAAATAAATTTTAATAGTAACTTTATTTTTAAAAAAAATGTTGAGTCATAATAAAAATGCCTTAAAAAAGAAAAACAGAAAAACAAATTTTTCTTGGTTCCTGAAACAAAACTTTAATACTGAAAATCGCACTTTTCTATGTTGATGGTTATTTATATTACAGTACAGGGAAAGAGTAATAATAAATAAATAGTATGAGACGTTCTGTTAAAATGCTGGGTTATAATAAAAACAGCAAAAAGTGGAAAAAATCCTTCTCAAAGTATTGAAAAACTGACAAAATTGACTTGTCTGATTATAATTTTTTTAAAAAAAAAGTAATATCTATAAAAATTCAAAAATAAAAAAAACTTAGAAAAATACATTTCTAAAAAATATTCTGCCGAATATTTGACTGATCATTCAACCAACTGAATTTTTCACAGAAGGGCCAAATACTCGTTACATCCCTCCCTAATTTAAATGCAATGTTATTTCAACTTGAGAAATTCATAAAATGGCGGAAAACGTGAATTTTCAAACTGCCCACTGTTTGTAGTTTAGATTTCAATTTTTTGCAGCTTAAGTGATCTTTTTCGATAAAAAAAAAAGGAAAATGCTTACGATATAAAAAAATCTAATAATTAATAAAATAAAATAATAAAGTACATTACAAAATAAGCATTGAATTTTATTTTGAACTATCACAGCTTTGTTTTTATTTTTGGCTTTTGTTTAAAACCTATAAACTTTCTTCAATTAAAATATTTAATTTGAAATTATATTACTTAATTATGACTAAACTTTTCCTACTTTCATTCTGTGGGTATTGCAGTTTTTTTTTATTTATTAGAATTTAATTCTAAAATGAATTTTCGTATTGCATGATGTGATAAAAAAAAAACATTTCTCTTCTTTAATGTTTATTTATTTTGATAAATCTATTGTTCATATGATAAAAATAGCAAGTTTTTTTTTTTTTTTTTTTTTTTTAAAAAAAAAAANTACTAAGTTATTGATATTACTAAGTTTATTGATAAAAAAAATGGAACGCTAATGTTTAAATAAACATTACTACATTTGTCATTAACATGTCTAAATACATCTGCGGCCCTTCGTTAGCCAACCTGCTGTGCAAGTGGCCCTTCACTCAAAAAGGTTGTGCACCCCCTATTTTATGGTAATTTATTAAATAAAAATAACAAAACTCTGTAACTAATTTGCTCGAAAATAAATTGTTTGCTTGATTTTACAATAATTTTTCCTTTTCTTAAGGCTGCACTGCACTGCAATGATTAAAAATTACTTTCAATTTCATTTCTGTTGTAAGGCTGGCATTTTTTGACCATGCAGTTTTTAAAAGACATACATGAAGAGTAAATGTTTTATAAATAGAGAAAGAAATAATTTTAATAGAAATTGCTTCAGTTAACAAAGAACTACAACCAAAATTCCATATCAGTTGTCTTTTAAAGCTAAAAATTAGGTGATCTTTTTCAAATGTAATAAAGAGTCTTTTTTTCCATAAAGCACATTCATCAGCTTGAATATATCAGTAAAAATAACACTTAGCTATGAATGGAATAAACATGCACCACTGAAAACTATTAGTCTTAAAATTGTACAGTAATAAAAACAACTAAAAATAACAAAAAAGGAAAGGAATGAGAAAATTCTTTAAAAAAACAAAAACTTTTTTTAAAATAATTAATAAAATTCCAAGAAATACATAGTATCAGAAAGAAATTATGAAGTCATTCAGTGGGAAACTGTTAACAAACACAAATATTTTACACAAATAGCTTAAAATTTAATAACTAAACGAAAAAAAATAACACTAAATATCAAGGAAATAAAAATTACAAATATTTTTGATTTCAATTATTTTTAACTGATTAAAATGAATAAACACAAAAAAGCAATTTAAATATAATAACTGTAAATATAAAATAACTTTTATGCCAATTACAAAAAAAGTTAAAGTCTAAAGGTTTTTACCTCCTATATAATTGTAATTCAAAAAGAGAGAGAAGCCATAAAATTATCAAATTCAATACCATAAATTACCCGAAAAGTAAAATAAAAGGAATACAATTCTGATTTGATGGAAGAAAAGATTACTTTAAGCATTATTTTCATGGAATATGCTTTTTCTTTTTATTTTTGAAGATTTATGCTTAATAAAACATTAAACCTGAAAATTGTTAACATTCCATTATAGTACAATAGACTCTTCTTGAAAGGATATCAGAAAACATTTAGTCATTTTAAACCAAAAATCTGGATACATAATATTATACTTTAGGAGTGTTCACACAAGAGAGAGGGGGCTAGAACATGTAGGAAACCATAGAATTGCAAGGAAACAATGCATTTGTATCAGTGTTTATTTAAATAAATAAAAAATAACCTTAAAAGGAAAATAGTCTTATTTGCTATAAATGTCAATGTTTTAGAACTTTTAATCTTTCTGGCCCCTAAGAAGAAATTTAACGATTTAAATAATCCTTTTTCCCCACAACAATTAAATTCGTGGTTATAAAATAATCAACAAAAAAAGATAAACATAATAAGAGGGACATTTTCAGAAAACAATAAATTTATAGAAAAATAGGACTCGTATTCCATTTTAGATCATTCTACATCGGAATACAGCAATAATGGTGTTAAATCTTTAAAAAAAATTGTAGAATGGAATTATCTAAAAAAGGTCATGCTAAAAGATGCCCAATAAGTTCTTAGAAAAGCTTATATTCTGTTTACAATTATAAGCACATGAGAAACATGACTTTAGCAAAAACATTATGTAGCAAAAAGCATATTTTTCGTCACAATCAGAAAAGAAATATAAGTTCTGCAAAATCCTTCTAAATTTCTTAAGGATTGAATTTTTTGCTTTACTTTATATTTTCCTCCCTGAAGAATAAATATTGAAGCTTGACATATGCTGTCGTTACTATTGAATTTATATCCATCCCAATAATAACTAAATTAGAACTTGTAAAATTAAGGAGTGCTGTTTCAACATAAGTTAAGTTGTTAAACAAACATAAATTCTTTGTTTTTCTCATTTCAGCCTTGTCAAAAAGAGTCACTAAATAATGTCTCAGATAAAGTTTCAAACACTCATAGAGCGCCCCCCGGGCGATGCAAAAATGGCGTTCTTAACTCATTCTTGGAAAATGAATCTGAGTTTTAAAAGGAAACAAAAATTTTTTCTTTGAATTGTCTCGCTGGTGTAGTCTTAATGGTGTAGAAAATTGTTTTTTGTATTTTTAATTACAATATTTCTACCAGAAAATTATAAAATCTATATCAACCCTAAATGTTGATTTAAAAAACTTTTGAGCAAGACAAATAACAATTAGAACAGAAATTCTCAATATTTTGCCACACGCATTTGTTTAATCATTGTTAGAAGATCATTTCCCAGCCCTAGTCTGAAATCCAAAAATTTGAATACTATACATTTATTTAGTTTTAGATTATTTTCTAAAGCTTTTAAAAATTAAATGATAAATGTTATTAAAGTTTGAATAAAAGTAGTTCTTTAATTTCATATACTGAATCTAAATACTTAACATCCTAAATTATATTAAGATACATTTAATAAAAAAAATGCACTGAAAATTATCTCACATGTGACCTTGAAAACACCTCTAGGATCTTTTCCTCCAAAAAGCAACCTTGTTAAGAACAATATTAATGCTTATTTTAAAGATGCATACAAAAAGTAAATCTTGTATGTTTTTTAAAAAATAATAATGTAATTAGTCATTGATTCAATAATAATTGTTTAAATGCTCAAAATAAAAAAAAAAGTAAAAATGAGCTTTAAGAGATCTTTTCCAAATTTAATTAAAAGTATTCTTTTTCATATAACTAATCATATTGTGCTGATTAGATAATTTGAAATTATGTTTAACTGAGGATATGTTAAAACAAACATCACTGAAAATTGAATAGTATGTACTACTAAAAGAAATTAAGAAAAGAACATTTAAGTAAAGAAATGAAAAATTTTGAGTTTTTTATTTATTACCAAAAATGAAAGCTTTAAATGTATTATTTGAAAAAATTCTTTAAGCTAACTATTAACGTCTAGTTAACTATTAACTAAGTTATGCTATTAGAATGCTCAACTAGGGTTCAAGAAAAAAAATCTAGATGGGTTATCAAAATACCATAACAAGTCCTAGTCTTAAGTTGCTAGAAAGGTATGTGTGATCAATTCTGAGTTTGAAGATTTTTCATTCTTCTGCAAGGTTTGATTGAGCATAAATTTATTTTTATATGCAACAGCATCTTATGTAAAATAATGGCTTGAAGTTTTCATGCCTGTAAATTGCTATTTATTCTGTTATATTTATTTATTAAAAATTGTATTTTTTTGCTGTAAAATGATTTATTATTAGTAAATGTTTGATATTTTTTTCTTATCTAAATTAAATCATATTATCCTGAGCCAATGCTGAAAGCCATTATTTTTATTCAATTTATTAATGAGTGAAAGGTTTTGGAACTGTGTTGCATAAAAATATTTTTGTTATTTAAGGCTTTTTGTTAGTAGTCAATTTCAAAAAATTAAGTTGATTGATTAATAATATATCTTTTAAATAGTTTAATTTGTCATTGCTAATATCTCAATTTTAAACTTATATATTTTTATTACTTCAGTGCAGTAATTCGATATTTAGTGTGTATAGTTTGTACCACTAAACCTTTTTAGTATAATTTAGATAACTGTTAATGTTTAGTGTAATTTGTTTTGCAGATTGCAACAATTTTAGGTTTAACAAATTCTCAATAAATCCTCATTCTACTCCATATGGCAATCAATCTGCTGGCACTTATATGAAAGTTAATGAAGCAGACAATTTATCAGATTGTGTAGAAGCATGCTGTGAAGATAGTGATTGCAATGTGGCTTTTCTTTTCAATACTGATTGTTTTACACTGCAGTGTCATAATTATAAGCTTTGCCAGCCTCTTAAAAGGAAAGGAAAGAAATTTCAGATATCATTTGTTGTGATTGTTCGGTTTCCAGGTACGTAATTCCATTTTATTATTTGTTTATCCCATTGAAATAGGACACATTATGGCCTCTTAATAGTTAGCTTACATGTTTTTCATTTTGATTTAAATTCTTTTTTTCTTATAAAGGATATCAAAACTTGAATCAAATAAAATATCCTCAATTTGCGAAGCTTATACTTGTGGCATGCAGCTGTATAGTGCGTAAAATATGTTATGTATAAATGTGCTTCTTTTTATATGGCTTTTACTTTATTTTAGTGGTATATATTTTGTTTAGTAGTTTCCATTACAGTATAAGTTAAACTTTTATTCATGTTAGAATTTTAACATCTGTTGAGTAGTGTTTAACAAGGAATTCTATTTAAACCTAACAGGGAAAAAAATCTTGATATTAAGCCCAACTTTTTTTATTTTCAGATAATGAGTTGAAATGTTATTTATTTTTAAAGTTACTCAAACAGTTAAGTTATTTGTAGAATATATTTACCCTTCTTAAAAATGCATTGTAACAAACTTTGTTTCCTAATGATGCAGAGAAAAATTGTAAGTATCCTATTATGAGTTCCCAGTTTCAAAATTAATTGGAAAAAATCAAATTTTTTTGTTGAAAACTTTTTTTATTTCTCCTTTTGTATTTTTAATTTTTCTCAATTTATTTCTTAAAGTCAATAAATTTTTATTTATAATAAAAGAAAAATTGTATGATATATGCTGAGTAATTATTGATTATAGCTAATTTGGCAAATCATTTTTGTAATCATATGTAATAAATTGTTTCATAAGAAGAAACAAAGCTTAAGGAAGAGTTTGAAATTTTTCTCGGTTATAAAGTTTAAGAAAAACATTAGATTGGAATGAATAAAAATAAATTTCAAGTAGTAATGGGTTTTGAATTCGTTATCTCATAAAACGTTCAGATAATTTGTCTTCACTACTTAAAAGGTATGGCATAATTTCTTAATTATTTTAGAACCATTCAAAATAAATAACAGATTTAAATTCAGCACCTCAAAACTTGTATAAAAATGTTCTGTTTACTATCAATTTTGTGGTTAACTTGGTTATTTATTTTTAAGTTTGTGTGGTAAATTACTTGTGTAAAGTATATTTAGTTTTATTTCTATTGTTGCCTTACTTAATTTATATAGCTATGTTTTAAAACATAATTTGTTTAGAAAGAAACCTACTGTTAACTTTGACTGATTCTCATTCTTTTAATATGTATCATTGACTGAGTATCTGTACACCATAATTTCATGGACATTTGCTGGAGTTTTTATCTTTTTGGAGATAAAAAAATACAATGCTCTAAGGCACAATTGTTTTTTTTTTTTTTTTTCAAAACGCACGCAGATAGCAAAACAAATTTGAAAAATTACTATAAGTACTTCTGTCACTCTTGTATCAACTTGTTCATGTGAAGGAACATTGTGGAAGTTACTCATTGTTAAGATTAAATAAAGATTTGCAGAATCTCAAATTTTGGTAATTTGATTTATATTTCGTCGAAACAAGACCTTGCAAGATATGTTAACTCTGAATATGTTTTTTATGAATTTAAAAGTATGCTTTCTTTTGAAAGATGGCTCAAATTTAAAAATTTTTTCTTTGTCTTTAAATATTTTTCTTTTCATTGCTTAAAGTGATTGAGGCTGTAAAATAATTAGTTTCTGATTTTTTTGTTTCATTCACATTGTGTTTTGTTTCAAAATAATTGAAATGTGAATAAATTGCTGGGTAAAATTGCGTTAAAGTATAATAGAATGATTATGAGGCTATGGATTATTATTAGAATAATTGCATTTCCCAAACAAAATATGTTATAGTTTTATTTTTTTATAAAAAAAACCTTTTTAATCTTTCGTTTTTATAAATTTCATCTTTTCACTTGTTTTAATTTAAAGTGTTTTGAAGCTCTTGTGTAATACTTAATAACTCATTGTAAAATTAGAACAATTTATGTACTCAAATAAAATATTTTCTCTTTCTTTTTGTAATCTAATAATATTTTTTTATTGTCCAATAATAGAATGTCTACAAAAATTGGATATTTTAAAAAAGAAGTTCAAATATTTTTAATGTAAAAAGTAATAATAATTCTAAACTCTTCTGAAATAAATTAGTAATAAATATTTTCCGTTTTCAAAACATTCTTGATATGGAAAATTGCTACATTTCCCAATTTTTTTTAAATAAATTTTTGATCCAATTTTATTTCTTTTTTATTTATTTATGCTCATACAACACATTTTATTTCCTATAAACTGAATGAAAGAGGTTATTCACATAACATGAATAATGACAATGGTCCAAAATGAAGTAAGATTCTGTGTTTTATTATGAACTAACATTAACTTTCACCAAAAGAGAGTTAGATAATGAAATCACATTTAACTGCAAAAACGTTTGTAACTTTAGTACTCCGCCTTTATAAAAATGCCTGGGTGCATTAATGCTTAAGTTGAGTTGAAACTTGATATATTGTATTCTTTTTGTTGCTTTTCCTTTGCTTTGTTTGTAGGAACATGCTTGCTTACATGTCCTTATGCTTTTAAATAAGTTTATTTTCCATGAAACTTTGCTGTTGTCTTTTCGAAAATTACATTAATTTATAATGGTATTTTGTGAATGAAAGTTCTGAGAAAACATCATTGTGATATAGACTATCATTATATGGACCATATTGGTAGCACAATGAGTTTATTTTTTAAATACATATATCTTACAGTTAATGTGCCTGAAATTACTATATTTTTAAAATTAGTGTTTTAAAAGGTTCTCAAGCTATTTGTGTTAAACATTCAAGGTAGATAATGTATATATTTTTTGCTTTAATAAAATGAAGTTAAATTTATTATGTACTCATGTATTTTGTTTTAAAATAAAATTATACAGTGAAATTATTATAGGTAATCAAACATTTAAATTTTTATAACTGTAAATACCATGGGTTTTTCAGGCTTCTAGTTAAGGGAAATACATAGAATTTAAAGTGCACAATTACAATTATCGAAAATTCACGTGTGATAAAAGAATTATTTTCATCTAATTTATATAGAGGACATATGCTGTCCCCCATGCAGATGATAAATGCATATAAAAATTTCAAACCTCGTAAAATTGTCTGTATTTTACGTAGTGTTGTATTACTGTATTTTAAGTAGGAGTTTTCTGGCTATTAAATTCTATTAAGTAATGATTTGTATTAAAATTTATATAGGAATATTTGTAACCATTTTTTTATAATTTTGTTTTAAAACTATTTTAAAAACATTAATTTCTGGTAATGAATGCTTGATTTGTGTTTTGAATGAAAAAAATTTAATTCAGAGTTTTGTTATAAGCATTGTTTCTTTACAAGTTATAAAGGAACAAGTTTAGTCAAAAGGAAGCTGGTTCCTAAATTTTTGTTATGGCAATATCTGTAATGCCACTACCCTTTTGAAATAAAAAAGGTATATATTTCTCTTTGAGTAATTAGTAAAGAGAACTCATTAGTTTTAATTGTTACTGGCCTTACTCATATGGCTTGATATGCATATTCATAATCTAAATGTATTAAAAATTAAATCAATGGTTTATTTTATTGTTTTAGTGAAAGTCAAATGAAATAGTCGTTCAATTTTATTGATGATTATCATCAAGGGATCTATATATGGTTTTAAATCCACATTTGTTATGGGTCTATTTTGATACATCTGTTATAAAAGTTTAAAAAAAATGCTGTAGATTCTAATTTGAATACACAAATGTATACAAATCTTTCCATATAGGCATACATGACACATTTTTAAGAAATTTTCTCATTTGTAAGAATGTTACTCTAAACAGTTCAGAGACATAAAAACTTGAAAATGAATGAAGTTCAAGAAGAAGAAAAGGTTTTGTTAAAGAAAAAATGTGTCTTATGAGTACTGACCTTCCTATTGTTGTTATGCATAGATTGTTCCTTTTTTATAACGTACTATAAATACCCTGATTTTGGGTATTTACTTAAAATATTGTTAAATAATTGTGTAAATATCCACCTGGGATGAATGTGGATCAGGTAAATACCCTACTCACTGGGTATTTATACTCATATCCATAAGAAATAGATATGTTTTATCTATTATTGATGATCTCTTTTTTTACATTAGTAGAAGTTTTTTCTACAAAAAGAACAGCAGTTTTTAAGTATTAAAACTTTTCTTTTGTCAAGCCTAAAAGAGAATTAAACCACAAACTAAACCCATAATTGGTTAGAACTCTGTCATAACAAGTTTAAAGAACATTTTAACAACCTTGGATTTGAAATGGAGTGAGCATCAACATTTTCACCCAAATAAAATGACATTGCTGGAAAAATTGAAATAAAATGCAGTTAAAAGCATTTGAGCATCATTTCATTATAGTAGTCTACAAGATAGATTCAATGCTGAGACTTTGTACGCTTGTACTCACAAGTTCAAAATCAAAGGGATCTGAAACTGATAGGATTAACTCTATTTTAGGTTTGGTGCAGATACAAAAAAGTTTTCAGTGAAACTTGAAATTTTATTTGACGGCACAAAAAAAAAAAAACATTTCTAAAATCTATATTTTAGAGAGATGAAATGGAGAAAAAAAACTATGCATGCCAATTTTGGTAAAACAAAAAATAAAATGTTAGGAAGAAACATAAAATAACAAGCATATATGATTTAAGGATGAAAAATTAAATGTAGTTTTGGATAGCAAAAGGAAAACTACGATGTTTTCAAAAATTATAAAAGATTTGAAGTTGTTGCACTTCAGGTTGGATATTGATTATTATACACTTTCGAGTAATGAAAGTTTGTAATAACACATTAATTCTATTTAAAGTGCAAATTCAAATTTAAACCTTGATTATTTTAATCTGAAAGTCCAGAAGAATAAGACCCTTCAAAGTTCTAATGACTTAATGTAAAATTGGAGGATATTACCACACATCAGAAATGTTTTCTTTAAGAGTTAAAAAAAAGCTGGTTCTAGATTTGTTTTTGTATC